TTATTTATCAGATACTGCCGGCTGCCTTTTGGGAGCCATGGCAGGAGTGGGTACATCACATTACAATGTTACACATTGCATCGTTTCAGTCGACAAACGAAATAAAAAAAGAAAGAAAAACAACAAATGCACATGTGTCTAATGATAACAACACATGCGGCCGAATGTGAACTCAAGACGCAAAAATAAAAAACAAGCCCAACAGCGTTTGCAATAATACACTGAGGTAGGACACAGGAGCAATAACACATACAGGATCGAGGGATTGAACACCCGAAAGACGCATACAACATTTCCGAACTTGAGTGAAACGGCCAACGAAACAAATAAGCATGTGAACCGAAGGACAGCTTACCTCAACAGAAGAATACCGCGAAATAAATGATTACCCGCATACATTTCAAGCTGTAAAAGAGAAAGAATGACAAGAACTGCGCATAACATCACAGATGATCTTGCACAGCATTTGTGAACGTATGAACTGATGATAGGCCGACTATGTCACATGGAAGCTTGTTCCATTCTGCTATCGTTCGAGGAAAAAACGAAAATTGATACACCTTCGTTTTAACTCGTGGCCTTACAATCGTCTTACTGTGCTTCCATGTTGTTGGCCTTGCGCTGTTATATTGCATGTAATCAGTGAAGCCCATTCTAATGTTACCGTTTACAATATTGTAAAGCATTTGCAGTCGATGCAGTTTCCTGCGTGATTCTAGCTTTGGAAGTTCATTTAAATGTCTAAGGTTAGTAATGGACACGTGCCTGCCGTAAGAGTTGAAGATGAATCTTAGCGCTTTTTTTTGAACGCGTTCAATGCAATCGATGTCACATTTGGTGTGCGGGTCCCAAACTACGTCCGCATATTCTAATAGTGGCCTAACTAATGTCGTGTAGGCCACAAGCTTAGTTTTAGGAGTGCAATGCATCATGCGATTTCTTAGCATGTAAAGTTTTCTCAAAGCCTTGGAAACAAAGAATTGCACATGACCACTCCAGCTTAGCGTAGAACTGATATGCAAACCCAAGTATTTAAATTGGTCTACTGAAGCTAATGGAACATTATTGATGCTATAGGTGCAAACCAGCGGCTCCATCTTGCGTGTAACACTCATCTGAACACACTTGGAAACGTTTAGGCGCATCTGCCATGTTGAGCACCAGTTGCTAACAGCTGCTAAGAAGTTGTTTAGTATTTGTTGATATTTCACTGACTGAATGTGCATGTATGCAACGCAGTCGTCTGCAAATAAACGGCAACATACTGGTGACGTAATCTGTAAATCATTAATATAGATTAAAAAAAGTAACGGGCCGAGCACCGAATCCTGAGGAACGCCTGAAAGAACAGATGCGAATTCTGAGTCCGAATTGCCTATGTGAACAAACTGCCTACGCTGTGTAAGATACGAGTTGAGCCACTGTACTATCCGAGGATTGTCAAAAAGGCATCGGATCTTTAACATTGATTGTCAGTGTGACACACAGTCGAAGGCTTTTTCAAAATCAAGAAAAACCATGCCAATCTGTCCGCCCTTGTCAAGCATTACCATTAGATCATTTACAGTGTGAATAAGTTGCGTCGTAGTGGACAAACCGCGCCGAAAACCATGCCGACTTCTTAAAAAATAATTGTTGTCCTCTAAGAAAGAACAGATATGCTTAAATATGAAATGTTCCAAAACCTTGCTACAAGTGCACAGTAGCGAAACTGGTCTGTAGTTGATTACTTTAAGTTTGTCACCAGTCTTATGAATAGGCACCACCTTTCCAGTTTTCCATTCTAAAGGTATTTCCACTGTCCGTATACTTTCTTTAAAGATTATGTTCAGATACTTCGCGCACCATTCATCTGTGCAGGAACACATTTGGTATGCCATCCGGGCCGATAGATTTTTTAGTGTCTAATTCGAGTAGCGCCGAAGAAATGCCGCTTTCGTTGATTTCTATATTCGGGATAGCATAACTAGTTTTCGGATATGACGAGTGCTGAACGGTGGCGCGAGAAAACACAGACGAAAAGTAGTCATTAAATGTATTTGCTATACAGTTACTGTCATCGGTGATAGTGTCAAGTTTCATTTTGCTAATAGCCTCATTCTTATTCGTTAGGTGCAACCAGAACTTTCTTGGCTCATTTGCCAAAAATTTATGCATTTTGACGTTGAAGAAATGGAACTTTGATAGCTTTATCTTTGTGCGCAATGAATCTCGGACTAACTGTAGGGACACCGCCCCTCTGTTCCCAGCCGAGCGATGTAATCGCTTGACACGGCGTTTCAACTGTAATATTTCGCGAGTGACCCAGGGATTCCGTCGGCTACGCTTTTTTTTTGTCTAGTAGGGACATAATTTCTAATGCATTTATTAACAACAGCCTTGAAACGAATCCACAAATCTTGGACAGTAGAATTTCCAGTAGCATAAATATGCTGAAAAATATCCAAATCTTCTTCCAGAAGGTCCAGTACACTCTCATTTTGAGCGCAGTTAAAATCGGGGAATTTTTTAGTGATGTTTTCGCCCTTTATCCTCGAGACTCGCATACGACCAGCAAAAAGGACGATGTCGTGATCGGATAGCCCAGGCAAATACGACATGTCATAGCCTACAGCACTAATATTTTCCGAAACGAAAAAAAGATCAAGAACTGTGCTAGAAGTAGCTGATACACGCTTAGGCTGATCCACAAGCTGCTTCAGACGAAACAGCAATATCAAGCATCAACTCGGAATGCTGACATGATGACGGAACACACAGTAGGTCCAAGTTAATTTTTGGAAGGTTGAGATCACCGCACAAGATGACATTAGCATTGCTTTTACAGTGCTCGTACATGAAATCATGCAGTTTTTGTAGAATTGAAAGATCTGCATTCGGCGGTCTGTAAATTGCACCAATGAAAACACTGTATTGGCACAGGCGAACACGAATCCATAACATTTCTACGTTAGTATTGTGAGATATCACTGTGTACTCAATGTTTTTCTTCAGCACAACTGCGACGCCACCACCCCTTGCCCCCCGGTCGTGGTGAATAATGAAGCCATGTCTCAGTTATTACCGTCATGTCTGGGTTATACACTAGAAGAAGGCCCTCCGAATGAGCAGATTTAGGTAAAATGCTTCTTGCATTAATATTCATAATGGAAAACGTATTCTGGGTGGCGCATGGTGGCAGTGGCGTTGTGTCGTTTTTTTGAGATGCCCGATCATTACGCAGGGAAGAATCGTGTCATTCCGAGTGTAATGGAACCATCATGTTGCTTCCTTCATCCCATCTGAACAGTTTTGCGTTGATTTTTACTTTATCAAACAAAAGAGCAACCTTTTCACCTCTCTCTCCATTTTCCTTCGTAACTCCCCATAGTTTTTTCCGGATTGCCTGAATACGAGGGGAAAAATCCTCGGAAATACTATAGTTGGTACCTTTACATTTCCTGCAATTTTTCAGTATTCTCCGCTTGTCTCTCCCGTCCACTAACTTGAAAATTACCGGACGGTCCTTGCTCGGATTCGGCTTCCCCAGTTGGTGGATACGTTCAATTTTAATGTCATGAACACTCAAGGTATCGCGAAGTATTTGTTGAGTAATTTCTTCCAGCGACTCGAGTTGTTCTCCCCGAGGCTCCGTAATACCATATATAATAAGGTTGTTCCTTCTACTTCTATTCTCTAAATCGTCTACCTTCAAAATTAGTTGATCAACCGTCTTCTAAGGTCGTCAACTCTAGATGTGTAATCGCACACAGTGGACGAAAGGCCGTCCTGTTTCGTTTCAATTGATGTCAGCTTTTGCATTGTTTCGTTCAACTTCAGGCTACTAGTACTGATGGTTGCTTCAATTTCCTTCATATCCTTCATTAACGACCTGAGCATTTCTTCCATGTTAGGACCCGGGTTTTCCTCTACGTCACCACAACAGGTCAACAAGTCAACGAAACAATGATATACGGCAAGCATATTTATATACGGCAGTGACCGTGGGCACGGTAGAAGCAAAAGACACACGTTATTGCTTTTGTAGCAGGAAACTGAACGGTTGTCACTCACCTGTACAAAGAACAAAAAGGGGTTGGATGAATGTGCATCCATCGTGCCTCCACTGTGCCCACTGGCCCAGTCAGCTACGGCGACTGTTTTTATACCAGATGCACACGATGACGTCTACGAGAGTGGTGCCAGTAGTATTCCGAACGGTGCAGTACAGATACGCATGTCCAGGTCAGCTGCGTTATCCCTCTGTGTATCGATGTGCCAGTCGAAGATGCGTTCCATCGCATCCGGCCCAGTGCGGTTGACACGTGTGTCGCCTGACGAGGGGATCAAGGTGATGGCAAGCGCGGTCTGTACAAAGAACAAAAAGGGGTTTGATGAATGTGCGTCCATCGTGCCTCCACCGTTCCCACTCTCTTCTTAGCTAGTTATTTTGATGATGCGAAATTTCGACTGGGAGCATTTGCACTCCCCCTTATAGATTCTTACCTTGGGGGGAAACCCTACCCTCGCGTGTTCGGGCACTTAAAGCCGTTATGAGACTGCAGCGCCGATGTTTGGGCTTGCATTTGGGACACCCCCCCCCCCCCCCCCCCCCCCACTCTTGTTTTTCGCGATATTTTTTTTTTTTGTGCCAAAAATGGAAGGAAATAATTCAGCGCACCGATTTGACTTATCGCGGCAAAACATGATTATTCTTGTCGCTAAAGGCAAATCTATCACAGTTACAAATTTTTACAAAAGTCAGTAACCCCCCTTCCCCGCTAGGGGGTTTTGGGATTTTCCCAATTGCCAGGTTGGCAGGTATGCCTGTGTATTTCCTCCTGCAATAATGGCTTTGGGTGTGTCAGGTAATTTGAATAAACAAATAAATAGGCTTTTGCTTCATTTTAGATTTGTTGTCCAGCATGTCACGTTTTTGTGGTTGTTAGTGAGTAGTTGATGTAATTTGTCAAAGTGCTAGGATTTGGTTAATTTTATATTGCCGGTGTTTCTTTTCACAGTGTGAGAGGCTCCTCTTGGGATACTGCTTCTATTGATCATGTGAACTCCAGAGTGCAAAGTAAGTTCCTTCTATAAATCTTGAAGAACGCTGAACACCCTTGTGATTTTTCGTGTCTACCTGTTACAATTATTACATTGCCTTCCTTCTGCCAGAGGTACCTAACTTGTGTAATTGTCTCTTTAGTGGGTTCACTGTGCAGGATGTTTATGTGAGCCTTTGTCCAAGGAACGCCGTCTCTATATTATCAATGGCAGCCATATACGTCCGATCCAGCCATTCACCACTTTCTCCTCTAGCCCTTCCCTGCTCTCGCCCATCGCCTAGTCTTCGTGAGTTCTTTGCGGTCGTGGGGAAGAGAGCCCATCATGCAGTGTCTCACAATGGAAATCGTACGAAGTAATTTTTTGTTCAGCTGTGTACAGGTCTGCGGGGCGGCGTATTGAATTCCTCGCATTCACTATGTTGGCAGTCACGCTGGCTCTGTAAAAGATATAGCGTGTCGCCGTTCGTGCGCTATGCAGACAACCAATGTAGAAGCGTCGCTGCAACACTACTACTTGCGCTGCGCTGCTATGAGGCGGTGGCATTGTTTCAAGCCATAAAAAAGGAGCACAAAGGAACAAATCTGACAGACGTACGATATTTGAGTGGGAAACGCGTCTATCGCATCTCTGGGAAAAAGTGCTCGGAAGCACGTGACATAAGCAGCACAACCGCTCATATAGCGCCGCATCACGATTACTCCCTGAACTCAGGCGAACCAACAGCTCCCGTTAAGTGCACGTTTGCTCTGGAATTGAAAGAAATAAAGGAGGCGTTGATCCAGGTGATAAATTGTGAAATAATAAAACAGCAAAACTTTCATGTATGCAAATTTCTCGAATTTGCTACGCATCGTAATTGAAGGTATTTGTAAAACATACTGCTGCATTGAAGTTTTCTAAATTCACTTTGTCCTAGTAACTAGTACTAGTTGTGTCTGCATTTTTTCTTGCTAGAAAAAGGTCAGCTGGAGCAAAATTTTGTTGACAAATGGTTCATCATATATATGTGGTCAACACCGTTTTTTTTTTTACAGTTTCTTTTTCATGGGACATTAGTTAGGTTGATGGACTGCTCACAACAAGCATGTGAACTGTCCTTTTGCAGAAGCTGATGCTGTGCACATTGAAGTGCTGGGAAAGACCACCTCAGGAGGGCTTTGTGGAAAGCTCTTCATCGACTGCAACAAAAATGTGATAGCTCTTGATAAAGAGCTGGTCAAGCTGAATTATGCTTTCCTAGATGCTGCAGCAGGCATGGAAGGTATGTGAAGTGCTATGAAACCTTTGGCTTACCTGATAACTTACAAAAATTGAGGCCATAAACTAAGTCATGCTGTTGAGGTTTACTTTCATGTCATTGCACGAAAATGGAGGCCATAAACTAAGTCATGCTGTGGAGGTTTACTTTCATGTCATTGCTGAAGTGATTCTTAGCCTTCCCTGGCAATACGTGGAGTACAAGGGTAGTAAAACTCCGTTAATTCTGACTTCGTGAGACCGGAGATAACGTCCGAACTACCACGAGTATGATCAAAGCGCTTGAAAAATGTTTTCTACACTCTGATACCCCTGTCACACGGGCACCCGCGAAGACCGTTTAACTCCCTCGTCCTTGCGACAACGAAGATGCGGTCCGTGTCACACGACCACTCTTACGCAAACAAAGGTAAACGGAGCATTTTGCTAAGGACGTTCAACGATCTCCTTTCGCAGCGAAACGAGGTACTCTCGTCCCCAGCAGTCTAGAGGTCAGAGAAGAATTTCGAGCACTAAGTGGCCGCAGCGAAAGAATAATACATTTTGGCAAAATTAAACATTCGTTGTAGTACTCATTCACAACGCGTGTTTTTTTTTTTTTTTTTTTTTTAGTTCACTTACACTCAACACCGATGCCCTACACACCGTGACTCGCGAGTCGGGCCGGCTGGCGCCAGCCAATCAACGTCATTACCAGCGCAATATCGTACCACTTCCTCACGTCGTCCGCTGTGTCACTCGTGGCTGAAGAACACAAAATGTGCGCTCACGAGGCAAGGAAGCATAAGAACTTTCGTACCGGGCATGTACACAGGCAACAAAACAACTAAAAGCACTATGTGGCCAGCGTCACTAGCAGCATCGCTACATTTAGCAAATGTGTTTTTATTTGAAATTACTTTTAATGGTTTGTTAGTCGCATACCTACTTAATAATGCTTTGTTGTAAAAACCGCGTAACGAGAATTCACAAAAAAATCAATAGGGATGAAATTGGAATACTTTTCCCAAAATCAGAAGCGCCAGCTGAGCCCCCTCGCGGCAACTGTTACAACCTTGTCATTGCCGTGTGACACCGCCGCAACTCCTTCTCCGTTGAGCCTCCTAAGGGAGATTTACGTTGACGGTGTTTAACGGAGTTTCGTGGTGGCCGTGTGACAGGGGTATTAGACTCTTATTTCTTAAAAAAGCCTGTGATCGCGGTTTGCTTCACAGAGGCAATGTGCCAGGAAGTAACAATTTCGGGAAGTGCCTGCAGGTGGCCTAGTCTGTGCACACTGTCTGATGAAACCATGCAGATGTTTCAGGGTTCATGCGCTTCCTTAAAAACCCTTGAATTTGAAAAGTTCGTTTTCAGGGCCTTGAGAGTCCTGGAATTTTTGCAAATCCTTGAGAATCCTTGAATTTCATTTTTTTTATAAATAAACATTGTTATTATTTCACAGACCATTATTCGTGATGCGGTAAATGTAGTAGTTAGCATATGTAATGTGCCCATCATAAAAGAATTGAAAACACTGATAGCTTCTACGAGAAACCAATACCATGCGTTTTTAATTATAATAATATTTGGAGTTTTACCTCCCCAAACCAAGAGATGATCATGAGAGACACTGTTTTGGAAGGCTCTCGAAATTTTGACCATCTCGTGTTCTCTAACATGCACTGACATGCTACACTACGCAAGCCTCTACCATTTTGCCTCTTGCAAAATGCGACTGCCGTAGCATGGATTGAACCTGCAGCCATCAGGTTTGCAGCCAAGCACCGTACCCCACCGCTGCAGACAGCATTGCATACTGTAGACCCCCTTAAACGAAACTCTCTTAAATAAAATCGCTGCTTAAATGAAACAACTGCCCCTAATATGTTTGGTTTCCTACTTTGATATTGTACCCCTTTTTATCTCTCAATAAACAAAACTCCTCTTAAATGAAACGCATTTTCTTGGTCTTTAAAAGAGTCTACTGTATTTAGAAACTCTCACAAGGCAGGAGCAGGAGGACAAAAAAGAACAAAAGAAATGTTGCATTGAGAAGGATGTTATAATGCTTACAAATAAGAAACTAAAAGTTACTGTTGATAAATTAACAGCTACAGCAGACTCATGCAGGTAAGCAGAGAGAACTAGCAACCTGACATGTAATCAAGTCAAATGTTTAGGAAGGCTGCTAACACTAAGCAGCAGAAGATAGTGGGCATTGATATGAAAATTCAGAAAAGCACCAAGGACTGGCATAATAACTGTTCGTTAGTTTTGCTTATATGAATAAAAGTTCGCATCTTGTGTCATACTGAAAGCGATTGTCTATGCAACTCTAAGAAACTATGATTGAAAGTTATCTAGCAAGAAAATGTTGTCATAGCCATGTTTTTTGTTTGCAAGTGATGGTGCCTTTTTTCGATGAATTCTAGTTTTTCTAAGCATTCATCCTCTCCTGAGCCCTTTTGAATGAGGTTTCTAGCAGACAATGTGGTCCTTGAAAATTCACACACATAGCATCGAAAGTCTTTGAAAACATGCAATGAATTTTGTTCGTGTAAACAAGCATGCACCCTGTTTCCTCTGAAATGGCCATTGCATGCGCAGTCTCCGTCATTGTGTAGCATGGATGCTTGCCTGCATCACTTGGGTTCTTGTCAGCAGATTCCCCTTCGCTGTCCAAAACTTTGGCGACGATATTGCTGCCGGTCACTGTGCTGGCAACGGCAACATCATTGTCTGTTGTGAAGTAATCGCCCAGGGGCACATCAGCTGGCATGATACCGCATTTACGTGCGTAGTGATCACACTCGCATAATAAATGCACTCCCAACTTCAGTTAAAATTAGTATTTTTTTCTCCTGCATAATAAATGCACCGCCTACATTCATCCGCTGCAGTCCTGCTAACGAACTCTTGGCACCTCCTTGTTTGTTGGTTCTACAGTCGAACACGGATATATCGAACTCGAAGGGAATCGCGAATTAGTTTGATATATGAAAAATTTTACATAAAAAAATAGAAGCCCCGAGAGGTTACCTGTAGCGGATCATCACCTGCAATCGGCACATTCAAAAGTGACTACTGATTCCGCATACATGCCGCAACAAAATGACTGATTTGCATAAAAAAAGAAAATCTGTAATCTTGGTCTGCTTCTTCGTTTTTGAAATGTTAAAGACTCTGGTTTTGATCTTATCAAGGCGTTCCAGGTGCAACAGCCCGGTTCCCTCCATGTGGCCGATACAACGGCACGCTGGTCTCGATCTTATCAAGGCGTTCCAGGTGCAACAGCCCGGTTCCCTCTATGTGGCCGATCAATGGTGAATGATGCCAAACGCTGCCACCACTTCAGTGGCGAAGTACTCAGGTGTAGCCAACGCCTCGTACAAATGATCTTTCTCGTCACATGAGCTCTCGGCCTGGACATTGCAGTGTGCTTTCACAAAGTCGTCCGCAGACACTTCCTGTGGAACTGTTGCCGGGAAGCGGGACGACAACTTGTGAAACCCGTCATTTATCATTTATGCGCTCGTCGTCGTCTTCATCAGTTTCCGCAAGTGATGTCGTCTCGAAGCCTGCCTTGCAGAAGCAGTTGACCACTGTGTCTCTCTTCACTTCTCACCGGGCATTGAAAATCTCCAGGAGAGAAACCTTTGCGAAGATTTTTGGCCACTACTTCGTTATCCACTGCTGGATGTCCTGGCAGCTGACATTGCCAAAATTGGTTTTGCCAACAATGTTGTAGCGCTGCTTAAATCTGTGAAGCCACCCGCTGTTGTCGGCGAAGTTGTTTCATCGAGTGCAGCGGCAAACCATTAGGTCTTGGCAATCAGCATCGGGCCATCCATCGGAATGTTATTCGGGCGTACTTCTCAAAGCCTGTCATAGAGTGCTTTTTCTACATTCCCGTGGGCAGAAGCGCGCACATGATAGGCTCCCGACGTTTGATGCTCCGCCATCCTTGCTTTGATATCTGCCTTGTTTTTCAGCAAAGTACTCGGAGTGCTTTAAGGTATCCCAAAGTCGTCCGCGACGGTCAAACATTTCTCGCCCACCTCAAAACACTGAATAGCTTTCAACTTCGTCACACAGTCAAGGGTCGTGCACTTCTTGACACTGGCCATAGCTACACGAGAAGTCGACAATTCAAGGAATCTGCAGCGGCTTTGCACACTACGCATGCAAAAGAGGAATGCTGCACATGCGGCGGCACGCAGGCGACGTGATAGGGGAAAGCAGCAAAGCGCTCGCAAGGCGATGGCCAAGGTTGCCAGGTACTTTGAGGGTGAACCGCCAAATTCAGGCTCATTAATAGCCCGAAAGTAGCCAAATGTAATTGATTGAAAATATCCAAAAACAGCCAAAAAGAATAAGATATAGAAACAACATTGTGCCTATTCTTTTTTATACAGAGAGAGTTCATAAAGAAACAAAGTGAAGAAACGAAGCAACATTTATTACTCGAAACCAGATTAAAACAAGCAAGGCATTTTGTGAAAAGTTACCCATGGGACATGTGTGTCTCGTGCTGCTACTCAATGCAGGATTGAATGTGACGCAAATAGGAGAAATGGAAGTAAAATTCCACTTTGCTTACCAGTATTTCTAATTTGGTGTTGCTCTTTGCAGGTGATAATCGACTTTATGAAAGGTCCAGCTATTTAAATTGTTTGTTTTCCTTGAAGTGAGGTTACAATCTGAGGTTCATCGCCAAAGTAAAGGGAGATGGAGTTGTATGAAGGAGAAAAATCGCTAGTTTATTACTATAAGCAATTAACTAAGGTTAAATGATGCAGTAACATTCAACGCTCCTGTCCGATACTATATCAAAACAAAAGTGAAGCGATAAGTTATATTCTTTAGAACCAATGGCGATGCGTAGAGCTTTGTGATTTCAAGCATATAAATAGCACCGAGTAGTTTCACAAGGCTTATTAAATAATTTGCATGTGCTTTCCGTTAAACCTTTTTTTTAGTCTACAAGCTTATTTAGCGTGAGAATGAACGACTCCGGAGCCTCACCAAACCACCTGGGGAAGCGTCACTTTAAAAGGAAATGTATTAATTCATTATTACTGACAGGCACAACTGTCGGTAGAAGGCTGCTCATGGCTAATTAAGGGGAAGTTTCATAGAGACAACTATACATGTAAACACTTAATTCACAATGACTATTAGGCACAAAAACAAATCAGGAGGAGAAAAAGCCGTGGAAAAGAAGCGTTCGAAGTCAAGACAGATGATAGCCCAAAAGTAGCCAAATAGCCAACAACCAAAAATCCCATCAACTCCACAAAAATGTAGCCCAATTTGTCTATTTATAGTCCAACCTGGCAACCCTCACGATTGCGCAGAACACCGATGGCCATGAAGCAGCAAAAGGCCATGGAGGTCAACAGCAAAAGACGCCAGCTGTCGTTAGCTGATCAAAACTCTCAAAAGAGCAACAAAAAAAGAAAAGGCAAAAGAAGGACGTTGGCTCCTTCGTTCCTGCTCTCCGAGTCGAGAAAACATGAGAGAGAGAGAAGAAAAACGGGGGAAAAAAAAGCTGTTCCGCAAGTTGGAGATTGTGCAGTCCGAGCCCTCTCGCCCTTACTTTTTTTTTTTTTTTTTTGAGCGTTTCGGGTTTTGGTGGAGGTGTGGTGCCGCGCGGAAGTCGCCGGGCACTGCGAGTGCCAAAGCCGTCTTCCGACTCGCGCGCTGCTGCGAAGATCACAGGGGGGGGGGGGGGGGGGGGGGGGTCAAGTGCGGAAGTGCACCTTTCAGCTCGCGCGGCGTTCGAAATATCTGAAGGTGGGTAAAAATACCGTTCGATATAAACGTGCGAATTTGTATACTTTTACAAAGGAATTTCAAGGGGATAACTTAGGAGATCGATATACCCGAAAATTCTATATATGTGGGTTCGATATAACCGTGTTCGACGGTATTCCTTTTTCTATTATTATGCCGACCCCCCTCGGCCACCTTGTCTCGCTCTCTCCCCCCTCCTTGCCCACTGCCGCGTGCTGTATTGTTTTTCTTTCTATCTGTGCGTGACACGTTCCTTGTTTTTTTAAATTATCTGTGTGCCACAGCGGGGTTCACAAACGGTTTGAATGTGAGACATCGCAGCTGATATGCACACAGCTCACAAAACTGCCCGCGCCAACTGGCGGTCGCTTCCTGCAAATACGAAACTTTAAGGCCCAACCACATGCACGCGATTTTCGAGCGACGACAGGATTTGTTGTCGACATGGCTATCGTGAAGGGCCATGCTTGGCCATAACGTTGCAGGTTTCTGGAAAACCAGATAAAAAATTGCTTTTCCCCCAGAAATGGTTGCGACTATTTCTGCAACATGATTGCGCCCCCAATTTTCGCTTCGATTGCAATTCGCTCATCATGCTTGTTATCCGCACGTACTTCAAGGAACGCACTTCTCATGTGGATGTATTTTAATTGTGAAGGGCTTAGCAATCTAACTTTTTCTTGCATTACCGCATTTTTTGCTCATTCCGAAAATGTTTTCATAAAAATTTGCCAGGCATAATGAATGCACCCCCAACTTTGCTCCGTTTTTTCCAGAAAGAAGTGCTCTCATTACGTGAGCAAATAGGGTACTTGGCTTACATAGCTCGAATCCCTGCCATGGTGGCCGCATTTTCGATGAAGGCAAATTGCTTGTGCTACATGTGTCTAGATTAAGGTGCATGTTAAAGAACCCCAGGTGGTAGATACCAAGTGGTCAATATTAACGGAGCCCTCCACTACGGCTTCCTCATTATCATATGCTGGTATTTGGACGTTAAAAACCAAAAATAATTTGGTGCTTACATAGCCTCCATCTTGCTCTTTGCCACACCACACTGGGTCAGAAGTGTCGTGCACGAAGCTGCTATGCTTAAAGTAGTTGGCAACTACTTCAGACGGTGTGTTGTTCCACAGATACGTGAGCATGTGGATTGCGCTTTGTAGGCTTACCTCGTACTGCTTGCCTGCCTCCATGCAGAGCAGCATCCGCTGGAGTGCCTGCCATGGATAGCAGCTTTTCACAAACTGTATAATTTTCTGCTCCATGGGGCACAGCCAACCTGTTGTGTTCGGACCTACAGGGGCATCTGTGTAAGCAGGCGTTTGGTGTGTAGTGACGCCACAGACCCGAGCTTAGCTGTGCATGGCATTGCCATGTCCGGGGCAAAGGGGATTCTGGGGCTTGAGCGAACGCTGGGTGATTGGACCTTAAGGCCCCCCGGCGGAGGCGACACACCCCTTTGATTTTTTATTTTTGATTTGATTTGATTTAAGATTTTTTATTGGTACGAATACAAGAATGTGACATGTGTTTAATATACAAAAGTATACAAGGCCCCAGCTTCACGCAGACTGCTGACCTACCCAGGGTAAATCGGCAGTCGCCTTTTCCTTTCTCTCCCTCTCTCCTTACATCTTCGTCTTTTCTCTTTTTCAATCTTTCCTGTCATCTCCTCACTTCTTTTTACTTCCTTCTTCCAGGTGGCAAGGGTTAACTTTGTGTATGTGCCCGCTCCTTGTCACATAATATTCGGTTATAGTGGCTTTGTACTGCTGGCGCTGCCATGCCTTTTTGTAATTGCACTGCCGCGTCCCCATGTTGGGCTCCATGGTAGGCTGCTGGCATGACTGCTGAATTTGTAGTTATTTTATGGCCTGTTTTTCATTTTCGAAACAATATGATCGCCCTCCCCTAAGAGGGGGCACACCGAACCAACACTGAAAGTCTTCCTAAAACTCAAATAAATCTTCCCGTGCTTCTATGTAATTCACTGTGAAACAAAAAAGAACGCAAGAACAATCTCTCCATTTGTCTTATCAGAATGCCTTACCAATACCCTTGGCCCAGGTTATCAGGCTACACGCATGGCTAGAAGTGACCTCCTTCTCGAAGTCCAAAGCAAGGCCCAGTACGAAAATTTGTCAGAACTCACTTCTTTTGGAACCACACCTGCATTAATCACACCGCACCGTTCCCTGAACAGTTTCCGAGGCCAGCTCTGCCTTATTTGAAAACCGTCGTTCGTTGGGAAAGCCCTACTCGCTTTATGTGAGGGACATAGCCGAGGTAACGGGTGTTCTACTACTTGAACACTGTTTGATGGGGCCCGTTGCACATCTCCCACCGTGGCAGTGGCGGCTCATAGAATGGGATGTGCCCTTTGCGGAAGTCGCGAAACATGCGCCTATTGCACATAAGCATACATACTTTCTAGAATTTCAGCACAAATATAATTGTCCAGAGTTCTTTACAAATGCCTTGATGTCTCACTGCTCTGTGTCATATGCAGTGGCGGGTTCGTCCTTTTCGGATGCCGGTGCTCTGCACCCATTAGTAATACGAGCATATTCACAGCAGAAGTGTATGCAATACTTGCAGCTGTTACACATTCAACAATTAAATATACAAAAGGCCAATTCACACCGATTTCTTGAGTGTGATAAAAGCTCTGAGAACTGAAAAAGCACAAAAATCCTGTAGTTGTCTCAATTTACTCACTATTATGCACAGTGTACAATGTCAAATTATACATCGTAGTGTGCTGGGTGGCAGGGCACCGCTAGATCCAAGGTAACGTGATGGCATATCAGCTAGCATCATTCGTCCACATAAACACTGCCAATACATTCATAGCCATCCCTGTGCTTGATTTCAAACAGCTCAGAGCTTATTGGCAAAGCACATGGGTTAGCCACACGCAAAATCCAGACTGCCATATTATACCCTAGTCGACACCTTTTACGGCGATGACGGCAGGCATGACAATGCAAGTACCCAGCAGAAGAAACGTTAGCAATGAAGCAGTGCCCCACGTCCCTCTTTTTTTGTGAAGAAGTGATCTGCTGGGGCGTGTTCTGGGGGTGACCGCGAGGGAGTGCAGCCAGTATTAAAAATGGTGGGCTTGCCAGCCGTTTTGAATTATGCTAGATACCGGTGATATAAATCAACAAAGCTGAAGGTTATCTGTCCGTCATTTGCGTTTTGGTTCGCAAATAGCTACTAGGTGGTGGATATCTGCTTGTTTATGCAAAAATCTTGATATGAGTAAATTTCATGTTAGTGCTCTTTTCACAGACCCTCAAGTTTTTTTTAAATTTTTGCACCATACCTGGGTTGCAAGCACAGCCACTGTTTTGATAAATAGTGCTTTTTGAAGTCAATCTTTTTTATGTGCCTGTGTTTCAGCTATGTTGAGCTTTATGAAACTGCTCTAAAATGGACAACTGCTCGAAACCTCCTTCAAAGCCTCAAGTTCACTGCGCCCAGAATAGCCCCTGAATTTGCTTCACCATTTCCATCTGTAGGATGCGGAAAAACAAGCTTGCATATATACTTCGAGTGCATCTGCTCTCACTTATTGAAACTGGCTGTATTGCTAGCTTTTTGATGTAATGTTGAAGATGAGTCAGTGTAAAGTGAATTCTATGGTGGACCTAATGTCCACTTTTGTTGAGCTACAGCAGGTGCTTGCCACATCTCTTATAATTAGCAGGGGCATAAGATGCCTTGAAAATATTCAGATATCTTCAAATGTGTTCAGGTAACTGTGACTTAAAACTGCAAACTTAAAACTTGGTTTTCAGTTTATATCATGTTTGGATTTTTTGTTTACTCATAGTGCTTTGAGGGAATGCCTTTTATTTTGACCAATTCCTTGGTTTATGTCTTTCAATAAAATTTATTGCATTGACGTATGATATTTATGGAATCCCTTCTAGTTGTTTTCTATTCGTTTGAATATAGGTTATTTGTCTGCAATTTCTAAGTATGCATTTTTGCGTTGCTTATGTGGTTGTGTTTTTTTTTTTTTTTATTTAGAGGTCATCTTGGATGACTACAAACCTGAGAAAGATGATCAGCAGCCAGTAAAAGAATCTCAAGATGAAGACACTTCTAAAAGTAGCAACTTTTGGGATGACATACAGAGAAAGAGTGCTTCGGCGGCTTTGAAAGAAGTGCTTGACAGTGTGTATGGCACTTCTTCGAGCAGTTTGGCACTTGTTCCTTTGGAAGTGTGTGAGGCAGAAGAGTCTCCACCATCGTCGGGATCTGCCAGTGGTGAATGCTCTCCACTACACTGGTCATCGTCTTCAACCTCCATTTCTATTGACACATCTTCATCAGGCACAGATACACCTCCCACATTGCCTGGGCTGGGCCGAGGCCTTTCTCTAATGCTAAGAGTAAAGGAATTTGCGAGTGACAGCTCATGCTGCGAGCCTAGTGCCAGGGGCAGCATAGACATGCAGACTGGGGAGCTAAGCACTGCCATGCTGAGTCCAAGTGAATATAGTGATGAGGATGAATGCTATACTCCTACTTTAGTTGGCACTCCACCTGCAGTTTTCAGGGATCGTGAGACAGCCTATTCTCCCGAAAAACTACAATCATCATCATCAGAGCCTGCAATGCCACAGCTTGAAACTGTACAATCGAGGCATGAACCCTCCTCTGTTATTCCTAAGCCAGTTATGCCACAATCTTTGGCTGATACAAGCCACTCTGATGAATGTAGAGCCCGTGGTCGAGCTCGGCTGCTTAGTTTGTCTCCCAATCCATCAAATTCATCCGAAGAAAGCCGAGGGGTGTTTCGCAGAAGTGTTACACTTAGCGAGAGATTTTCAATGTCCAGTGAAGCATCTAGCGGCTCATCGGCTCCTGAAGTCTGTGCAGCTGATAAGAAAAACCCAAGCCCGGTCATGAACTTACCCGACTTCACAGCATACCGAGGACGCGGGTGTGCGTTATTCACAAAAGTGATGTCAGGCCACAAAGGCATGCAGACAGCTAATAGCCCGGTCATGAACTTACCCGATTTCACAGCATACCGAGGACGCGGGCATGCGTTATTCACAAAAGTGATGCCAGGCCACAAAGACATGCAGACTGAAAAGCTAAGCACTGCCATGCTGAGTCCAGGGGAAGACAGTGATGAAGATGCATGCTATACTCCTACTCCAGTTGGCACTCCACCTGCAGTTTTCAGGGATTGTGAGACAGCCTATTCTCCCGAAAAACTACAATCATCATCATCAGAGTCTGCAATGCCACAGCTTGAAACTGTACAATCGAGGCATGAACCCTCCTCTGTTATTCCTAAGCCAGTTATGCCACAATCTTTGGCTGATACAAACCACTCTGATGAATGTAGAGACCACGATGAATGTAGAGCCCGTGGTCGAGCTCGGCTGCTTAGTTTGTCTCCCAATCCATCAAGTTCATCTGAAAAAAGCCGAGTGGCGTTTCGCAGAAGTGTTACACTTAGCGAGAGATTTTCAATGTCCAGTGAAGCATCTAGCGGCTCATCGGCTCCTGAAGCCTGTGCAGCTGATAAGAAAAACCCAAGCCCGGTCATGAACTTACCCGACTTCACAGCATACCGAGGACGTGGGCATGCATTTTTCACAAAAGTGATGTCAGGCCGCATACCAGGGCAGAGCACTACTCAATTGTCACCACAGCCACTAAGCACGCAAAAAAACAGCCTGGCACAGAAAGAGTCTTTTGACATCTCTTGTGGCAGCAACCAGCCTAAACCTGCATCGTCTAGTGTACAGAATGATACCTACCCGTCTAAAGTGATAACCAAGGCAACACGAATGAAGGACCTGTGGGGAAAAAAAGGACATTCTTTGTGTGCAGCTTCATTGCAAGGCTGTTCATCTAAAGCTCAAGATGACAGTCTGGCAAATTTTCTCAAGCCTGGTGTAACTGCAGGAACAGTGCCGGTAAGAAATTTTGACACCTTAGAGTTGCATGCAAGTTGTGCAAAAAAAGCTTGTTTAATTCTGAAAGCTTCCCCCCAACTTTCAGGCACTAAAGAAAGAAGATTTGTTTACTGGAACTTCATTATCATGTCCTGGTAGCAGCACTGACCAAGTGAGTCTGTATTTATTGGCAACTCAGTGGTGGCACTTGTGGATTTATGAAGAAATGTTCTTATCACCATTTTTCTCTAGAACCTATCAGTGAAGATCAAGACAGTTTGAAGCACTTTTACTAATGAACTTGGCATTACTGTAAAATCTTGAACAAATGTCTTCTCTCCTTGTTTTGAGAGATTTGCAATATGCACCAATGACAGAGCAAGCACCTTCTACCTTCCCCTCCCATCATTCTCCCTTTTCATTCACTGTTTTAGAAACCATGACTACATGTGTACTCAATAGTTCATTTAATTCGAGCTAAACTTGTGCATTTTTTATTCTTAGTCACTCTTTTTTTTGCCATCCTGAATTTTGCTCCATGACTGTGCAAGGCTCCTCCTGCCTTTCCGAATCTTGGCAGATTATCCGCACTGTAGAATACAGCGGCACATAGTGACACCTCATGGCGAGAGAGTGCATCTGATCCAAACTGCACTCTTGACCCCTGTTAGCTGTCTGCCAATAACAGCAATCTGCTCTATGATGACCTAAAGCTGACACCACCCCCCCCCCCCCCCCAAAAAAAAAGGCAAGGGCCAACCTTTTTTTGGAGAGAGTGTGCCCAAGTGCATTTCATATAGAATGGGAAGCTAAAACAGTGCTTTGAATATCCCATTGGCCGCCCAAAAACAGACCTTCATTAATATCAATGGCATAATACACAACTGGACAATCTCTTCTTGCATCTCTCTAAGCTGCTATCTGATACAGGAAATTTATTGGTCTGTGTTGCTGTTTAATAAATATGCTCTCGACAGTTCTCACTCACCTTGTCAAGTTAGTAAGAATTCATAAAGCGTATTGTCTTGCATATACACTTGACATGGTGGGTTGCATACACCTTTAGGCAGCTCATAACTGGGATTTATTCCTTTTTTTTTCTCTCTCAAGTTTATAGAACTTATTGAAATAATTCAATAATGTGTTATAATGTTGTATAGATATTCAAACCATTTAGCTGTGGCTTGACGTGATAAAAAATTGTTTTAACGAGAAATGTTGGAGCCGTTGCTTTTACAAGAAGACTTGTCTTTGTAAATGCATCAAATACGTTTCTTAGTATTGTGTCTATGTAGCCTTGCTCACTCTCGCTCAGCTTAAAAATTGAAGAAGCAAGCTTGTGCACAAACAAAATTAAAATAGAACATTAAAGAAAGGGAGGAAGATACACAGTTAGAGATACTCTCGCTCAGCATAAAAATTGGAGAAGCAAGCTTGTGCACAAACAAAATTAAAAAAGAACATTAAAGAAAGGGAGGAAGATACACAGTTAGAGATAGTTCTTATCTCACAGGGAGGTGTGTACAGTGAGGGAGAAACGAAATGGGGGACCGAAGTCATGATCCTGCTATGTTTGCAGAAAATGGTGCAGTTGTAGTTTTCACAAGAATGGCATGCAATTCTTAGGATAAACCTCAAAGGAACCATTCAATTTCATCAGTTTGTGGATGCTTTCACTCTGTGATTGGGTTGAGGGAGGGCGAGCTTGGTTATAGATTGACGCACTGTAAAAACAGCTGCTGCCATGGCAAAGGTAAATGTCTTCTTGTCACGACATTGGCTCCAGGGATATTTTTTGTTTGATTCTTCATCACATTGATTAGCACTCATAGAAAACAAGTTCTTTGCTGCGACTTGAACTACATATTTGTGTGATGATATATTGAGAGTAGGGCTAGAATTTTTGGTTTACTTGTAACATTGACAACATTGACATCTTGGTGAAAGTGTGTGGGTTTTTTTTTTTTTTTGCTTGTATTTTCCATGCAGTGCAGCAAAAGCATGGATATTGGCTGTATAAATGATAAAACGAAACATTGTTTTTGAAAAGTTACCAGCCTGCAGCACACGGAGACATTACAAAGGAGAATATAAAGTCATCCTTGAGGGCTTGCCGATTGGAGATTTTCCAATTTCTTGGAAAAGTTAATATCAGGCCAATTTTAAACACTGGATCACTGTAAATAATAGATGGTATAGCACTGTGGTGCCAATAATTGTTACAGTTGTATACTTATGGAAGTCTGTTCAGTATAAGGTGTGGAACTGAAAAAAATACAGGATCTGTTCAAATTCAATATGTTTTACAACTTTTGTAAACTGGTTCATAGCACTGAACCGGTTTCACGCTTTGCCCTATGATGACGTGTTCTACAGTTTTGTGTTCCTATTGCCTGCAGGTCCAAGCTTCTCTTTCACCAAGTTTCTGATTTCATTATGCAATGGGATACTTGTTAGCATCAGTGCTGTGGTGCCTTATAAAAGATATAGTTTATTTTTTTTTGTGGTCCCTGCAGTGATTTTCAACACTTTCACCTGATATGCTCTACTTTCTGGATGCATAATTTTTTTATTGCTCTGTTTACTAGAAGACCACTTATAGCATATTTTTTTACAATTATGTTAGTTTTTTTTAAACTGGGTTCCATGTGGGGTATTGTTTAGGCCTCATGAGCAGTCAGCATGAATACAACTTATCCCATTTTACCTTTATTAAGATCGAGAGAAGAAAATTTCTGTCGCTTGTTGGATACAACAAATACAGTAGAATCTTGATGATACGAATCTTGCGGGGTCACAAAAAATATTCGTAAATAGCCGAAATTCGTATCGTCGTAACACATGCAAAACTAGCTAAATTAACCCTGAGTCGGAGGCAAACTCATTTTCGGCACTCGGAAAAAAATTATTTTTTGGAGAAAAAAAATTCTTGTCTTTCTTCTTCTTTTTTTTTTTTTTTTTTTTGTCAAGTCACTCGGAAGACTTTTCTAGAATACATAAAAACGCGTGCACGTATCGTCACTGGTTTCTTCAGCAGCCATAGCACGCCTCAGGACGTCGAGCGCGTGTAGAGTTTCAGCCGCCGGTGGTGGTCCTTCGCCGTCGCACTCTCCTATTTCCTCGCCATCGTCGCTGGAATCGGCAACCTCACTCGTGGCCTCATTGACAATATCTTCCATTGTGCGTGCACCACAAGTGGCAAGATTGTCATATGCCATGCAAAAAGTCGTCAGCCGAACACCCGGCATGAAGGCGTTCCCAACCCTCAATGGGCTCCTCCGACTCTGAAAGGACCTCTGGCACCTCTTCGGGAATCCTAAAGAAGCCGCATATGCCAAAGCAGTTCGCAATGGTAGTCGACGTTACTCTATCCCAAGCCATTGAGATAAAATGGATGGCATCCAAAATGCTTATTCGCCGGCCACCTTCGTCTTTTCTGTCAATTTTGGCAAGGAGTCTGCGCACAAGAAGGCTCTTGAAATAGTGCTTGACGTTTTTTATAATCCCAGCGTTCAGCGGTTGCAAGTGCGTCGTCGTGCTTGCGGGCAAAAAAACAAACAAAAACAATTTGACGTTTTGAAGCGTCACTTGCTTTGGGTGGGCGGCGCACTGGTCAAGAATAAGAACAATCTTCCGATTCTTGCAGGCCATTCTTCTGTCAAGGAGAGACAGTAATTATTCAAAAAGGGCCGCCGTCATCCACGCTTTATTGTTTGCGCGATAAACGTGTGGCAATTGGCTCTGGCGCTTGAAACACCGAGGCTTCTGAAATTTTCCAACTATAGTCAACTTAAGTTTTTCCGACCCGTCGGCGTTACAGCACAGAGAAGAACCGTTATTCTTTCTTTGCTTCTTTTGCCTGCTTGGCACGCTTCACCTTTTAAGCAAAAGCTCTTCTCTGGTTAGAGATTAAAAACAGGCCTGCCTTATCTGCATTAAAAACATCATGAGGCTCATACCCCGAGATAAGACTCCAGCTTCGCGGGCCAATCGCTAACAACGGTCTCGTCAGCCTTCTTGGCTTCCCCGCAGACCATTTGTACACGAGACCGTGTCTCGTCTTGAAACGGTGCAGCCAGCCACCTGAGGCCTGGAATTCATCTATGTGCAGAGCAAGTGCGATCTTATCGGCTTTTTCACGCAAAACTTTGCCGTCGATGTTCACACTGGCTGCAGTAACCTCCTTGAACCAGATCAATAAAGGTTCTTCAAGGTTCACGTGTTCGGCTGTCTTCGCGTTGACGCTGAACGAAAGCACATTTTTCATTATTGTGTCCCGCTGCCCAACAATTGTGCTCAATGTCGACATAGCGAGGCCTAGCTCCTTAGCCAACTCCGCGCGTTTTCTTTTCGGATCCTCATCGGCCTTTCGAAAAATGTCCAGTTTCTCGTTAAAAGAGAGAGCCTTCCGCTTGCGAGACATGGCTTGCAGCGACTTCGCAAAAAGGCACAACAAAGCAAATACGTGTGTTCGACTGGCCAACACAGAGTCGACAGTCTCTGCACAACAGCAACCACGTGTCCGCACCAGAGAACACCCACCACCAAGCAAAACAAAGATTAGATTGGATTTGTGTGATGATGATGATGGATTGTGGTCCCACCCTTTGTAACGGGTAGGCAGCTCTCAACTGCCTTAACCAGAAAAAAAAAAGAGGAAAGAAAAGAAGGGAGACGTAGAGAAAAGAGAGCGACAGAAAAACTAAATGACACATACACACAAAATGAGTTATCATGTTTGCAACAGTCAGCCAGTGTCTCCTTGCAGACCAGCTACACTGTCTAAACGTTTACATTGTTTGCGCGTCCACACTGTCTGTGTTCTGTGCCACCGCTGTGCTCTTCTCCGTATCTCCTCAGAATCCCAGTGCCAACGGGAAAGTGGTGCCCTCTAGGTGGCCCGGGCACAAGTCAGCGCAGCAGAGGACGATGTGTTCTGTGATCTCCTCTTCAGTGCCGCATATTTGGCATATGGCTTGTGCCACGTCCGCAGACGTGTAGAACCTGCGACGGTATGCCAACGTACGCAGCGCTCCTGCACGTGCCTCAAAAAGGAGTGTGCTGCCACCGCTGTTATTATAAAGGGGCTTCATGCCAATGTCGACCTTGTGAGTGCGGTATGTGAGCAGTGTGGATTTATCCTTCATGGCATGCCGCCACAGCTGTCTCCTC